TTTAAATTGTGCATACACTTCCTAGATCCATAGACCATATTATATCAGTAGAGACAGCTCCCCTAAAATACAATCAACAGTCAAATTAGTCAAATGTATTTGTGCTATTCTGGTTACTACTGTAAGTGCGTAAATATAAATAAGTACCGCACTGAAATGAGTAGTAAAACAATAAAACGTAAAATAAGGTCTGTGAGATCACTTGTTTAAAAAAATGCGAATTTGCTAATTACTTCTCTTAAGTCAGCAACAATTTACAACATAAAACAGATCATTCCACATAACTTAGTGATAGGATCGAACGGGAGCAGGTCTCGAAAAAAAAACCCAAAACTGCTCAATGCGTGATATTCCGTGCAATATCCTCAGTTGGCAGCAAATGTTGTATCATAAGACCCTTAGTATCCAGTATCTAGCTAATATGTTATCATGGTATTGTAGCTATACAATGGCACATAGATGCACAGGTTTTTCTTGTCTTACGGCTCCACTTTTAATTGCTTTTTTTGGGGTCACAGTTCTAGGCCTTTTATTCTGTTGTTAGTGCCAAATGCAATTTAAAATCAGCAGGGAAACACTAATTATCTTAATTGCAACATTTCCCAACAGTGTTATTTCCATTCCTATTTGACGTTTGTGGGAAAATATGTTGCAACCACAGATCTTCCCCTTGGTGCAATCTTTTTTCCCCCTTTTCATTTGGTCTTTTTTTCTTGCTGTGTGTGAGTGTGGTGTCTTGTGATAATTATACACTTGATCACAAAGTCCAGCACTGGTGATACATTAACAGCAAAAAGTAAAGGCAGATTAAGACAAGCAAGTAAAAAGAGATCCGAACTGCTGCCCAATTAAGAAAAAAACTGGTTGAGAGTGTTGTTTTTACAATGGCTAACAGAAGAAACACAATTTAATGAAAGCTTAGTGGACAAATACTCGAACAACAGTATAAATCAAGAGAACTAGTTTTAAATTTACGTTTATCAAATTAGAACTACAACAAAAGTACAGTTAAGATTAAAATAGAATCATATTTATGTAACTTTATACACTTACCAGTTGTTTCTCTGAGTGAGTTTGCACCTACGTTCAAAATGCTACACAGGATCTTCGGCTGTGCTGAGCTTGAAAAGTGGAAGTGTGAACTTTGACCGTCTGTGTGATCTTTGGTACAAGGAACTGCTCCAACTATCATAAAATCACAGCCTTTGATATACAATAGTATTTTACAGCTCTCTGATTACAGATGATACAGTCGGGGTTATTGCTGCACGTTGCTAGGTCAACCAGTCAGACAATGGGTGGGGGTAATGATGTTACATCTGACACTGAAGCCCTGAGGCATGTGTAAATGGGGCGTGTCCAAATGAAGCCTGTGTCGAGGTCTGTATCATTCTTTAGAATATCAAGTAACCAAATATAAACAAGACCCGTTATCTGACTCAAGCAGTTCAGAAGATGTAACCAATATATTAGTTTAACAAAGAATAACTGCCCATGTCATGATGTTGTGTGTTGTTTGTGCTCCTCACACCTGAGGGTGGCGTTATTCATTCTCTTTGTTTGTACCTACGTAAGTTCCAGGTGGAGCCGTACCATTGGCTGAGGATGTAATGAGGCTTTGAACTGGCTGAAGGAGGTTTGGGCTTGTGTGTAAAGCTCAGGAGGTGTGTGCTAGCCTCTCGGTGGACCAAAGCTTGGATTATGACGTGGTTAGGGCTACAGTATTGCTTGCTTTTGAATTGGTGCCTGAAGCGTACCGACAGAAATTCTGACATTGTGGGAAAAGGGACAACCAGATATATATGAAGTTTGCACGTAAAAAAAGGTTGCTTTTTGATAAATGGTGTCAGGCTAGCAAGTCAAAAATTTCGCACAGCTGAGGTTTCTAGTGCTTTTGGGGGGTTTTAAGAAATGCTTGCTAGAGCATGTGGTATTTTATTTAAATGAAAAAAAAGTTGAGTCTCTTGCAAACGCTGCTGTCTTGGCAGATGAATTTGGCCTAACTCACAGGAGTGGGTTTTTTTTTTTAAATCTCCGATGCATCAGGACCGTATGGTTTCCCCTGGTGTGGGGAGGACACGGTCAGTTCTCAAGAACATACATGCTCCAATTCAGAAATTTGTATTAGATATTGGACACAGATGGTGAACTGCTGTCAGACCCTGAATAAATTGTGAAACGTGTCTGTGATTACTTGGGTCCAAAAGTCGATGTTCCAGAAGAATATTGTAGCCGCCTCTAATCTCTCAGTGGCACCATTAAGACGGCAGGACAGCAGGGCCTCTTCCCCATTAGAAAAGTCTCCTCCACCACTAGCAGGAGAATGAATAGTGAATATCTTAAGGCTACTGCTTGTACAGATATCATGGCTGGCTCACACAAGCTTACTCTGCCACTGCCACAGGCCATGTGAGTTTACCGCCCCTCCCACCAGAGTTTACTCCCCAGTTGACTGTCGTGAAGGGCACGTTCTAACAAAACAACCAATAGATGTAACTGAATATCACATAATATCAAAAGACTAACTTAACACTGGGTTAAAACGACACAGATTTTTACTTTGCTCCGTTTTTGCATGAAATGGATCTGAGAAGATGTTGAAGGTGATAGTATTTTGAGATGCTGTCACCCAATAATAACATAAGTCTTGAATCAGTCTCAGAGAGGATGGCTAGTTGGGGATATGTGTGTGTGTTTGTATGTGTGTGTATGTATATATTTATATTACACAGGACTGCATATTACACACTGATTGATGATCATTTGTCCTATTATTATCAATCACACTGACTGAACAATGTTTATCACAGTTGGATCTTGGAGACGATGTAAGTATTTGACAGAACATGAGGTGGAAATTACTTTATAAATTTAAACTGGAGTTTAATTTGAAGAAAAGACGAAAAATCGGGTAAAAAATTTGTACTTGTAAGTTGAAACTTACACGCAGCTGGGAAACATGAGTTTTACACATAGTTTTTTTGCTCTGTATATGTAAGCAGACCTTACCAAAAAAAACCCATCTAACTTGCGTAAATATGTTTTACAAACACAAATCTTTTTTACACACACACAAATTCTAATTTATAGATGCAAAAGCATCATATTTTCATATATTTTCATTTGAAGGTTACAAAACTCACAACTACACATTCTGATTTACAAGTACAAAATATTTATGACCACAATTTGGGCCCATACACATGGGAACCCCAAAGAGGCTGCCAGGAAAGCTGTAACAGGGAAATACCTGCAGAGAGTCAGGTAAGACCTGAAGAGTCAGCTGAATAGGAAGAACAAGATCCAGGCAATCAACACCTACACACTGTATCTCACCCGTGATCAGGTTCTCAGGTGGGATAATAAGCTGGCCAAAGGCAGAGATAAAAGCCACTGACATCAAGACAAGGAAGCTCTTTACCATCCATGGGGTTAGAGTTACACTTTACAGTTTAGAGTAAAACCATACATATTTAATCCCTGTAATATTCTGGATATTTATAATCTGTATATTGTTATATATTAGAGCTATTTCTTATATTTTGTAACTTTGTTATATATTGTATTATTTAATTTCAGTCTGTTACTGTTCTTATTATCTTGGAGAAGGAGGATGCACATAGTTTAATTAAGGATTAATAAACTATTCTTATTCTAATTCCTATTCACCCCAAATCCATCACCCTGAGTCTGTGCGCTAAACCAAAGAAAGGTGACTGTGCATTAATGAGTGGCAGAACCACTGTCCAGGATGAGACAACAAACATCCATGAGCACATCAGGAAGATGGCCACAACAGATGATGTGCTTAGTGAATACCTCAGGTAGCAGACACCTGAGAAACAAGGGCAGAAGGGGATGAGATGAGCCATCATGGAAGGACAGGCTGGCGGTACGTACCATCAGCACATACAAGAAGTACTTTTCAAACCTCTCTACATGAGGTTTGAGAATTTTTCTAAATGTTTAAAGTTTCCTGATTTTGCTCTAAATTAAGTGTCTTCTTAATCTCATCTTTCTGTTTCTGTAACTCTGCCAGTTGTTTCTCCACTTCCGGTTTTCTTTGGGTCATTTTATCATGTATGTGCTGCGTTCTAAGAAGACGGTTTTCAATGTTTGCTTGCAGCTTTGAATTTGCTGCTTTTTTCTCTAGTAATTTGTTTTTGCTTTCTGTTATTATTTCTTTCAGATCCATGTATCCCTTTGCTCTGTCACTTTCTGTGTTCTTATCCACTGACTGAAGCTTGTTTTCAATATCCTTCACCTCACCATCCACCACATCCCTTTGTTGTTTGAGTTCATTTTTTAATTTCTTCAGTTCGTTTTCCTGTTCAGTCAGTATATTAACCAGCTCCTCCAGGTCTTTCAGCTCTTCCTCTTTCTGCTGTAGTTCTTCAGACTTCTTGTTTTCTGCCAACAGCTGCTCTTTCTCTTTCTCCTCAGCTTCATCCTTAGTTTGCCTCTTTTTCTCTGCATAAGTACAGAGTTAGTTATGTAAAAGTTGTCTGATGAACAATGGTACACGCACCTTGATTAAGTTGTTAATCAAGGTGATTTTAGTTGTTAGAAACTTGAGTTAGTACAGATTTGGTGACACCTAGCAGATAGACCAATATGATTACCTTTGATTTTGTTTTGTCTCCATATCCACAGAACAACGATTGTTGTACAAGTACAAATGAGAAAAACTGCCAAAATAATACTGACACGGAGGGCAGAAGAAGGTGGAACTGCAACACAATCACCTAAAATTAAAAAGACAAGATAATTAAATTCATAATAACTTCCAATAATGCTCAGACATGCATTCAAATTGTAAATAAAACAGATAATCATTTTATGAGACACTTAGAGCCTATACTTTAAAAGAAATACCACAAAGAGAACCTGTTGAAACATGAAGGACCTTCCCTGACAAAGACGGCAGCTGATGTTACTCCAAAACCAGTATGTATCATTATGTACCGACTGGCTGGCTTTCACAGATGTCCAAGCTACCACATACATCACTTTACATTGGACTGTGTGCTGAAAACAGCAGTACAGTTTCCCACGTCTCTTCAATATATGTTTAATGAGCTCAGATGTTATTTCGATGCAGAAATGAACTGTGTTGACTGAAAATGGTTTTCAGAGTTGTTTCAGACCACAAAAATGATTTTCTCTTCAAAATCTAGACAATTTTTAAGGCACTGCTACCAGATGGTCTAGAAATCACAGCCAGTCAATGTTTCACAGACTGGAAAACTCGTCCCTCTTCAGTTCAGAAATAATCAGCCTCACTGGGTGGTTTTCTTTAATGCCAAACATCAATTATGAAGTAACTTCATCAACTGTCAGATATTGGATTGGTTTGTGTTACATCCACTGACCTTTTGGCCTCTTCCTGCAAGACAGTTGTTCTCTCGCTCGCTCTCTGTTCCAGGTTTCTACACCTGATTGACACAGCTGAGCAGCATCAAGATCACTTGTGGAGCAGCATAATCCCCCCAGCAGCAAGTGTGTTACTCTCTTTGTCTTTTGGCTACTGAGTCCTGGAAAACATTAGTGCTGTTCTTGCTTTCTTTGATTTGTGCTTTGGAAGCCAATTTTACGATTTAGTCATGGTATTTAGAAGTTAGTGGACGTTTGGTAGGGGTTCTCTGCCATTTCTTTTTTATGTGAACCTTGGAGTTTTTGTTTGTTGTTTTGGCCTTGGAGACCCTGGAGATTAATTTGCTTCCTTTTCCACTCCTACATAATTTAATCATGTAAAACTGTAAGAATTTTTAAAAAACGCTAAATAAATTTTGACACACACTTTATTGTTTGTAGTCTGAGCTTATAAACAGCTTGTGCTATTGCCCTTGTATTACACCTCTCATGCCCCATACAGGCAAAGTCAGTTTGTAACAGTTTGAATTTATCATCATATCAATTATCCAGTATTGTTCTTTCAGTTTAGGAAAATAGAAATGTTTCTTATATCAAATTTTAAATGAATTTAGATTTGCATTTAATTTCTTTGCAAATTTCAGAAGAAAACATTACCTGAAACATGCATCTGTGTCTCTCTGCTCCGGTTGATATCCCTTTGTTGGACTATACAGTTCACAGTATTTCTGTGTCTCTTCTCCACAGTCACTCTGCTGCTGACAGTATAGAGGTCATCAGGACCTCTGAGGGTCTCTGTAGGTCCAGCAGAGTGGCTGTTTCCATCACTGTCCATCCACAGCAGCTCAGGCTCCGGATACCAGCCTGCAGACTTACACTGTAAAGCGACTGCACTCCTGTTTATGTTGACTTCTGCTACTGTAGGTAAGGAAAGTGAACCTGAGGATGGCAAAGATAAGAAGTGTTAATGCATTCACAGAACAGTGTATTTGATTAATGATATCAGCAGTAAAACATGTCTTAATCAGTGTGGAAAAAACTTTGACTGCTTTTTTCAAAGCCGACCAACACTTCACTTCCTCTAATTGTAACATACTTGGTAACTCAACCACAACGTGAGAACAGCCATGTGATGTTCCAATAATTTACTCCTGCCAATAGTTTACCTCCAGCAGGCTTTTTTACTTCAGCTGTTACTGGAGACGAAAACAAAACATGTTCCAGTGTAGTTGATAAACGGTAGCGATACTGGGGTGTGATAAAAGAAAAATGAGCAAGGAGTTGGGCCACCAAGCACCATCTGAACTCCACTGACGTAAACTAGAGGAATAAACACCTTCAGTTATTACACTAAATAACACATACTGTCATTTGGTGTTTTGATGATGGTTGTGGAGATCCCTGTCTAACTCAATGGTAAAAAATCTTCCATAGGTGATCATTTTTGTCTCAGGATAGAAATGTGTAATCACTTAATAAAGGTGATCCCATATAAAACAGCTTCATATGAACAGTGACCCTTCCCTGAAAATGCACAATTGGATTCAAACCCTTGCATCCAGACATTCCCAACAGCATAATAAAGGCATTGGATTTCCTAACTACAGGGACAATTATCTGTCATTCATCTGTATCTCGCAGTGTAATGAAAAATGTCCACTTACCAACAAGAAGTTCAATGGTAGATTCTTTGGACTCTGAGGGAAAAAAGCATCTGTATCTGCCATTATCAGAGTGTTTGACTCTAGAGAGTTTCAGTGAAAGGTCTCCCTGCTTCAGTTTCTCAGTGGACAGTGATGTCCTTCCTTTGTAAGATGGGTTTTGATTAACCAGATGATCTTGACCCTCAAACCACACATGGACAAATCTGGGATCCAGGTCAGGTCTCCCCCACTCCAGAATCTTAGACACAGCATCTGTCGCAGGGTCCAAGTAGCATGGTAAGATGACATCCTCACCAACTACTGTGATTATTTTTTGAGAAGATGTTACTGTCTCAGACTGACCTGAAAGGACAGGACAACGTTTTCGTAACTTACAGTCATGTTTATCTAATGTTCTTAGATTATCTGCAGCTTAAGCTTGACTGCTCAGTTTCATTTATATTTTTGTACACCTAACAAATTATAAAATATACACCGTCCATCCATTCGCTTCCGCTTAACCACCACCACTAACCACCATGCCACCGTGCTGCCCTAAAATATACACAGACCTCCAAAAATGACATATTTTGTGTAATGTATTTACTTTAGCTGATAACGTTTGTGTAGATGTTACCTGTCCTTATATCTGTCAGAAGGAGTAGGATCACAGTGTGGTGAAAAAACAAAGTGCATGGTTGACGTTTCAAAGTGAGTTGATCACACTGGGAATTCATCCTGGAGTTCTGGATAAAGAATACAAAGCCCCAAAATTTGAATTACTAAAAAGTATATCATGACTTTAAGACAGCAAAAAGCATAAACAAGTAAAAATATCAGCTGAGATCACCAATAACAGGTAAACAGAAAAATACTGATCATCTTGTAAAATTTAGCCAATGGCATGAAACAAAATGCCAATTTTAATACTGATGTAGACTGTGCACTAAAAAGATGATTTTATTACAAAGCTAATTATTTTGTTTTCCCTTTTTTTCTGCCACAGACCTTCCTTTGGCAATCTGTGTTTTTGATCAACAAAACAAATATACTTTAAACCAGATTATACTGGGTAAGTTAATGATAAAACAAACAAACAAACAAACAAAAACTTACCAATACTGCCATTTTGAAAAAGACTGCCATTTTGTGTTAGTTATACGCTTGATCACAAAGTCCAGCACAGCCTGGTAATACATTAACACCAAAAATAAAGGTGGACTAAGACAAGGAAGAAGAAAAGTGTTTAGATTCTGACATTAAACTACTTCCTGTTTAAGAAAAGAAAGCTTTACTGGTTGGCCGTTATTTTTATGATGGCTAACAGAAGAAAAACTTAAAATATAGTATTTTATATATAATGAAAACTTAGCTAACAAATAAAGTTAACACAGTTTATAAAACAAGAAAATGTGTTTTCAATTTATCTACACAATAAAGAACCACCATTAGAAATAAAATAAAACTATTTAAGTAACATCACACACTTACCGGTTGTTTCTCTGAGTGAGTTTGCACCTGCGTTCAACACGCTACACAGGATCTTCGGCTGTGCTGAACGTGAATAAGGCAAGTGTGTACTTTGACCGCCTGCGTGATCTTTGGTACAAGGAACTGCTCCAACTATCATAAAATCACAGGCTATGATGTATAATTGTATTTGACAGCGGTTGTTCAGCAACACATTTACACTGATTCAACATGAGAAAGATAATGAAACACCTGATGATACTTCACTAACACTAAAGTTTTGTTACAAATACAGATTTTCCACTGATGTTAAAAAACATAATAATGTAATAAAAACAATGTTGTTGTTTTTTTATTAAAGGCACAATAAAAATGTATGTGTGGCCATTTCATTTCAATGTCAAACTCATGATGATGAATGTGCTTGTGTGTGACATGTTCACTGCATTCTTTTTTTGTGTGTTTTTGCTGTTGTTTCTATGTGTCATGGAAAATCTTATTCAGTCATTACTGGTGTATGCTCTGGTGTATGGTTTTGTCTGCTGTTAAACCCATGCAGTTCATCCACAATGACACAAAGTCACCATGCTGGAGGAATAATCAAAGACTCTTAGGTGCAGTGGCTGGATAGTGAAGCTGTAGGCCTGGTTTATCTGTTCTTTCATTTCTTTCATGGGCCAGTATGGATCAATTCCTCTAGCTCCCTGGACCCTTTTCACTCCTGGCTGCTACCTGTTGCTTGGATCAGGCAGTTTTGCCCCCGTTCCCCTGCCTTCTATACTTGTGCTGGCAAGAAGTGAATTTCCAGAACCTGTGGCCTCTGGTGCGTGCTCCTCTCATTACTGTTGTTTTGGACCTGGCTCCAATCAGGATGGGTCTGGTGAAGGCTGTTAGGGTGAGATTGTAGAATTGTCATTTGTACTTAGAAACATATAATCATTTATGCTTAGAGGTATATAATCATTTGTAAATTGATAGAATGTCTCATCCTAGGAGGTCTGCTAAAACCCTGTGTACCATGAAAAGGGGAGTACGTTCACTCCCTTTCCAGAGTGTTTTGGCATACCTCACATACCTCCTAGGGTCATGAGAGAGGTTGTATCTTCTCTTTCTGATATATGGTATGGCAAATACATCTGTATCTGTTTAAGTATAAGAGCCTTTTGTTTTAGGTGAAGTGCTGGACTCGCGGTCACATTTTGACCCACATACACATAAACACACACACACACACACACACACACACACACACGTCCCTGACTCGCTCACCAATTGCTGTACGCATTTGGGCCTTTGGTCACCTGACTTCCCAGCTGTTACAGGTAGGAATCACATACATGTCGCTACTGCCTCTGCCTGAATTGGCTACACTTTTGTTGATTGGTGTTACTAATGTTTTTGTAGAGATCACCTGCGCATTATTTCCCTGAAGCCTTCCATGTTGTGTGACGGCTGTGTGCGGACAGGGATAGGACCCAAGATGCAGACTCCAGAGACAAACTTAAACCAAAACAGCTTTAATGCTGAACGCAAACATAACATAACTGGGAAAAACTCAAAATAAACTAACACCGGTGGACTGGCAAAACACAGCAAAAACAAAAAAACAAAAACGGT